CCTTCCTTCCTTCCTTCCTTCCTTCCTTCCTTCCTTCCTTCCTTCTTTCTTTCTTTCTTTCTTTCTTTCTTTCTTTCTTTCTTTCTTTCTTTCTTTCTATTTCATTCACAATCAGCCAACAGCTTGGCAAACAGCCTCACAAAGGTAGACTAATTATCTCAGACTTTTAGCAATCCTGGAACGTTGCCCGGTAAATAGTTCCACACTCAGTGCTGGCAGGGAAGGCTGGGTTTACAGAGAAATCTTCAAGAGGCTGGAATGAATGGACAAACAAGCGAGTTGTTTCCTGCAAAAGCCCCCTCCCCTTTTGCTCCTCTTTTAATCCTGATTGGAGGGGCCATTAATCGTCCATCTGTGGCCTTACTCCCATGTTGACCCCGAGTTCTTAATTGCTCCTTTCTGTCAGGTTTCCAAGTGATGAAATCCATTCAAAAAGAAAACAGCAAAGTCCATCTTCAATAATAATTTCTTTTATTCAGAATAGCATCTAATTGGCGAAGTCTTGTTGTAATTCCGCATCTGACACAACCCGGAATTACACCACATAATATTGGAAGTCAGAAACAACCAGGGCTTCCGGTTTGAGTCTCTTCGGCGACAGACCGAAATCCGCGATCGTGCGCAGTTTTGATCTGTGCTCGCCGCCAGAGCGCCCCGAGCCGGCTGGTTTTGGGGCTAAGCCACCCCGTAGAGATGGTGAAGAAGGGGGAGACTGCCAGCAGGGTCGAGGAGAGCCGCATCTCTCTTCCCCAGCTGGCCATTACTCCCTTTTCCGAAGGCGGTTGCAGCGGTGGTCAGTAATGGCCACCTCAAAGAAGAACTGAACCGGAAAAGAATGTGCAGGAGGAAGATAAGAAGAGAAAGTTTTGGTCGACCGGGTTAAACTGAAAAAGCAACAATGTAAAGTACCCTGGAATTTAAATTAAATAACATTGTTCCCAAAGAAGATTTTGAAGCTGCGAAGGAGAGAGAGAAGGGAAAGGATTTTTTTTTCTTCCCTTCCTTATACTGACAGCCAAAAGACTTAAGCAAGAAATTGAAAAAAAAATCCACTTTGACATTAATAGGCATCTAAGCTGAAAATAAAAGTCAAAGGGATAATGAAGATTTCTGGATATTTAAAAGTTTTTAAAAGCAGGAAAGGAGAAAAAAAAAGAATAAAAGGGCAGGATCTGGAAAAATGGAGGAGACTGCCTGGAACTAAGGAATGGAACTGTAACTAAAAGGAACCTACAGTGAAATTTTAACAAGATTCCTCAAAGATACATTTTAACTGAAACTTGGCAACAAAATAATAGAACCCCAGGAAGAGAAAGTGGAAAAAAGAAGCAAGAAGAAACAGCCTTGGATTATTTGGATTATTTGGTGATTTTTGGTTTTTGCATCTAGATGACTAAAATTAACCAGGTGGTTGTTTAAAAGTCTTCAAAATGGTATCACTCTTAGAAGAACTGAAAATGGAACTTTAAAAATGGAAAGAGGATGCACAAGAAGGGAGAGGTTCTTTTGGCTTCATATTTCAATTCTTAGAAATGGAGATTTGGAACTATGAGAAACAACAAGAAACACTTGCAGAACAAGAAGATTGGGACAAAGAAGAAGCCATCTTTAATGATCAAATAATTTTAAGTGGGGGGGAAAAAGGAAAGGGGGGAAAGAGAGTGAAAGGTTTAAGACCAGAAAAAACAACCAAAAAAAAGAAGAACAATTTGAAAGATAATACAATATTAGAAAGCAACAGAAGAGGGGATTACAGATGAGAGAGTTAGAAGTAGAGAGATGAGGGGGGGAAAGGGGAGGGAGAAGAAGAGGGGGAAGAAGGCAAGGAAAAGAAGTTGTAAAAGACAGAAACAAGAAATAGAGAAACAGGGAAAAGATATAAGAATTGTAACCATAAGCTTGTTTAGAGATAATGGGTGAAAATTTAATTGTAAAAGGGATTCTGCAAAGGTACCTAAGATAACATTGTTGTATTACAAACAGAAATAAATTTAGAAAATATGACTAAAATGATGGATAAAATATTTACTGTAATGTAGTGGAATGTTTGTTAATAAATAAATGAATTAAAGTGAATGAGAGAATTAAATGGGAACATTTTAATTATTATTAATGATTTATAAAAATATAAGTGAGAAATATGGGGGGGAAAAGAATTAACTATGGAAAGTTTATAAGTGTTCCCAAGGAAGTATGATATTTAATTGAAAAGAAATGTTAAAGATGTTAAGATTTTAATGAATATTAATGATAGAATTGAATTGGAATGGAATGTGTGTGTATAATTTTTTCTTTTTAAGAATATAGTGTGTATTTTAAGAATGTACCAAGCAGAATTCGATTGGACGTTATGTATTATATTGAATGCTGTAATTTTAAAGGTATACATTGAAGCTTAAATAAGAGCTTGAACAGATAAAATTAAAGGATATAAAGGTGTCATACTCCAATTGGTAACTACGGGGAAAAATTTGTTTAATGAGAAAAGATAATATGAAATTGAAACAGGACAGACAAAAGTATAAATATAATGATTTGAATTGAGATGAGATAATTAAAATAAAGTTGAGAAAATTAAAAGAGGGGAAAAACTATGTAGAAAATATAAAGCGGTAATAAAATATGGAATAGAATATAAAAATGAGCATGAAATTGAGTTTGGTGTCTGTATGAAGAAGGGTTGGATTTAGACCGCTTGTGGGAACGTAAGGATTCCAGGCTGGTTCCTTTATTGACTCCATCCCCCAGGCTCTGCCCCTCCTTCTCCTACTAGAGTGAATATTGAACACAGGGCTGTGCAGCATCGTTTGTTTGGCCAGCCGGGCAGCTATTCAAATTGGGGGGGGGGGGGCAGAAAAATATCAAGAAACCCAGTCAAGGGGGTTGCGAGCTTGAAAGAAAGAAAATGAAATATGTAGAACTTGGAAAAGTCTGTATGTGTGTTTACATGAATGGATGGATGGATGGATGGACGAACAGATGGGGGGGAAATGGACGGACAGACGGATAGGTAGGCAGATAGACAGACCAATAGATAGATAATGATGGATGGATGGATGGATAGATAGATAGATATAGACAGAGAGATAGAGAGATAGAGAGATAGAGAGATAGACAGATAGACAGATAGACAGATAGATAGATAGATAGATAGATAGATAGATAGATAGATAGATAGATAGATAGATAGATAGATAGATA